AAAATTAAGATAAATATTGGAAAAAGTATAAACTACAAAATATATTTTCATATCTTTTGTAATTTGTACTTTTCCCAATATTTCTATTGGTTATTTTAGTATCTTTTGTAGTTTGTACTTTTTTCAATACTTCTATAGGATATTTTAACATCTTTTGTAGTTTGGTACTTTTCCTAATATTTCCATTGGACATTTTAGTATATTTTGTAGTTGGTACTTTTCCCAATATTTCTATTGCATATTTTCAAATTTTTTGTAGTTTGTACTTTTTTCAATATTTCTATTGGTTATTTTAATATCTTTTGCAGTTTGTACTTTTTTCAATATTTCTATTGGATATTTTAGTAACTTTTGTAGTTTGTACTTTTCCCAATATTTCTATTGGATATATATTCATATATTTTGTAGTTGGTACATTTTCCAATATTTCTATTGGATATATATTCATATATTTTGTAGTTGGTACTTTTTTCAATATTTCTATTGGATATTTTCAAATCTTTTGTGATATGTGAAATAATTCCTTCTCTATACACAACACACCAACTGTTACTCTAATAATAATAATAATAATAATAATAATAATAATAATAATAATAATAATAATTCTAAATTATTTCAGAGACAAACTGATCAGTATTTGGGTTTTAACACCAATTGAAGAGCCCAGTCTGGCTCGGGATTTTGGCAAAAAAAGCAGAATTGTTGTGTTGAAAGCAGAGCAAGAGCTGCCAGGACTCACCTTCCCCTGCCCCTGCTGCCTTGGCTGCTGGGGATGCTACTCTTTTCAGACTAGCAGGACTTTCTGAGGAACCAGAATCCATGCTTTAGAAGAAAATAATGGTTATTTAAGAAATTCAATCTCTATAATAATAAAACATTATTATTATATTTCAAATAGAAAATGCACCTGCACTCCCAAGCAACTCCCTGGGTTTTAAAAGAAGAGACAGTAAATGTGCAGAATAAAGCTTTGAATCCAGTGGTGTGCCATGGGCACATTTAAACAACTGCCTTAAATGCAGAATTTTCTGTATCTCCTCTTTTGCCTCAGGAAAAAATGACCTAAAATCATTCTCATTTGTATTCCTAATGCTAATGCTGCCTTCACATTACAAAAAAAAAAAAAAAGAGATTTTAAATGTTTAATCCTCCAAGAATAATGAGAAGTGATTTAGATTTGAGGAATGCCTTTGAATTTTGGGCAGAGAGGAGCTCTGACTTACACAGCTGTACTTGAAAAAGTCCAATACACTCATTTTTCAGTTGCAAGTCACATAAAATGAAGAAGGTTAATTAATCTTTTGTTGGTGAGGCGAGACCCAAGGAGAATTGAGGTCAGTTTTCTTATTCTTATTTTCTTATTATTCTTATTTTCTTTTTCTTATTCTTATTGAGGTCAGTTTTCTTATTTCTTAAATTCTTATTTTCTTATCTTATTGTCAATTATTTTCTTAATTTCTCAATTAAGAAATTGAAAATTTCTT